GTGGCTTATACGGTAAGCCTAGTATTGATTCTGCAAACATAACAGGACAAGAAAAATATCCTGGTAATTTTGCTAATTCCATCATTAAAAATGAATCTACGAATGAACCATCAGAAAGTTCACACGAGGCGGATACTTATCAAGTGATCCTGAGCACAAGTGTGCATGACAAAGATAATCCAGATGATTATGAATCTGAAGAAAATCCTACATATGAACGTTATCAGGAGCAATTGAAATCTCCTGATATTGACACCCAAGTTGAGGGGGAAGTGGACAACCCGGCCTATGATGCTCTCCCATTTGACTGCTCAGAAAGTTTTTACGCCTCACCAGATGAAATGACTGATGTTGCTGGATATGGTGATGTATTGAAAGAGAATGACTCCTTGGCTAATCTGAATTCTAAACGTGACATGTCAATGGAACTTAATCCCCAAGTGGAAAGTCCTGGCAACAATACTATCCAATCAGAAACAAAGAATGATTACGCTTCAATAAATAAAATGACTGTTGTTGCTGGACCTGGTGATGTGTTGAAAGAGACTGCTGTGCCTGTAGACGATCATGATGAGGTAGCAGACTCGAACATTGACGCTTTGTATGCAAAACCTGACGTGTCCATGAAACGTAACAAGCAAGTGGAAAGTCCTGGCGACAATAATTACGCTTCACTAGATAAAATGACTGATGTTGCTGGCCCTGGTGATGTGTTGACAGAAACTGACGCCACTGCAACGTAACAACCAAGTGGAAAGTCCTGGCGACAATGCTCTTCAATCTGAAACAGAGAGCAATAACCATGATTCATCAGATAAACCAACACTAATTACTGAATAAACAACAAAAATAGAACATTCCTTGTTAAACACTATATGAAGATGGACTCAAACTTTATACTAAAGTGTAACGGCCTTAAATGAGACAAAACGACGAAACCTTGGTCACATGAAGACTATCGTCATCATGACCACTATCACAACTTCCATTATCATCATCAATAACGAAAACGTGATTATAGGCCTAAAAACTATATCTCTAATTAAGCTCTGCAGGACACTTACCATTGTCTTGTAACAACATTCTGATGGCACACACATTGCTAATAGATTCACATGGTTGCGTTTCTTTTGTCACATCTTCTTTTTTGTATTTTTTATCTTTTATATTATATATAATTACGCTTACCTCAAAGCCTAAAATCATAAGAGACAACCGAGGGCCTAAATAAACGTATGAATAACCGGTACGTCTCTTACTATTTAGAAAATCATCTTTGAATTGTAACTTTTAGTAGGTGTGCGGTAAGAATGGCCCCGGAAAAAATGGCCCAGGAAAAATGGCCCAGGTAAAAATGGCCCTGGTAAAAATGGCCCCGGTAAAAATGGCCCCAAATGACAGGTAGGTAAAAATGGCCCCAATAATAAAATTCTGTATTAAAACTGATTTTTTTAAAAATCATTATTATATGCATTTTTTTAAACTGAAATAATTTAGTTTTTAAAAGGAATCTAACATCAAATAAATTGCCATTTACATTTTACTTTTTGCAGAAATTACATATTCAATGATAAAATATTCAAAGAAAAAAAAAAGCCATGAATAACACTTTTTATTTTTTTCCCATTTAAATGTTAAAAAATAGCAACAACATGATCAATAAATCAACATAAATCATGCATTTATTAATACTAAAATAATTTATTTCAGGCCAATTTCAAGAAAGCGGAATCACAATTTTCCAGAAATTCAATCCGGGTATTGGTAAACCCCACAAACAATGAGTCTATATGAACATCAAATTATTATTATTTTTTTTTTTTTATAGAAAAAGAGACTTCTACAATCGTAATTAAAGGGTTTGGATGGGGTTCGCAGTGTGTTTGGAGGATTGTGGTGTATTTGCAAGTATTTTTTCACAAAAAAATCAACATTTTAATCAAAAAATAGGTTCTTATAAATATTTAATTTTCTTATTGATATACCAAGTGAGTCAATCACAATTGAATTGTTTGGTTTTCTACAGTGTGTTTTTAGATTTTTTGGATTTATCTATACCATTTTATCCTACCATAATTACTTAAATTTTTAGGCACTTAAATTTACTTGGTGGGGAGTAGAAACCAAGTATGCAATTAAATAAGTTGCTTAAATAAATGTATTCCTAATTATTCAGTTTACTTTAGAAACAATATTTGGTTAACAAATACTTCTTTGAAGTAACTCTAAGCAGAACATTTGTTGAAGTAAAGTAAGCCTCCCTTTTCCCATAAATGAACTTGTCACTCAAACACACATTGATCCACATGCTTTAACTACTGTTTATTTGCACTGTTTATAACATGTAAAGTTATTTCATTTGATACTTAACAAAAGTAAATTTTGTGGCCGGGTTATCTATGAGTTGCATATTTTGGTAGTTGAAGTACTGTATGTATGTCATTCCTCTACTTTGTTAGTGGAATAACGTTTTTAAAACTTATTTTAACTATCAAAAAATGTTCAATGGCCGTTGTTTTCTTATTATTATAGACAGCATCATTATTATCATCATTCCCTCCTCTTCATCAACATCATCATAATCCTCATTATAGCCTAATCATCATTATCATCATCATACATATTGTTATTGTGAGTACCAGTATATTTCTATTATTATTATTATTATTCTTATTATTATTATTATTATTATTATTATTATTATTATCATTATTATTATTATTATTATTTATATTATTATGATCAGCATCCCCTCCTCCTATTCATTGTCATCATCTTCATTATAACATCATCCTCATCCATGCCTTTATTGTGAGTACCAGCAACATTAAGGCCACCATTAGTGTCATGTCTCTCATCCTCCAATCGTTACCCAAACGAAATACAGTAATTGGTATTTACTATCGTAAATTTTCAATGTTTTTTGTTTACATTATCATAATATGTTAACGTCGAATATAAAATGTATTAGTCTATAATAATGATTTTATTAAAGTAAATATTTATTCAGTTTATTATAGCTACAATATAGTTGCAAACGTGTTACACTAACCGATTACTATTAGCATTTCTATCAAATTTTGAATGCAACTGATAGTGTAGGACCATTTACACTTAACAGTTGCTAGCTTTTATTATCATATAATAATAGGCTTATGCACTGTTATCATACCATTGTACGTAATAAAACATTATATATAAACTTTTAGTTCTAATGGTGGGGCGACTCCTTACACAATTACGATGTCTTTGTAATAGTTGTGTACTTCTAACAACAATCATCTGACGACCTGAGGAAATGCAAGAGATAACTACCGAGTGGTCTTATAGCTCAGACCTACTTGTTTGAAAGGTTGGGTAGTGTTTGAAGCCCTTAAAGCTTATAACGACCCATTACATTTCAATTGGTAAGCAGCAAAATGGTAGTCGGTAGGCGTAAGGTTCAATACCCGATGACTGGGGGTCAACGTTTTTTATAGATATTGTGTAATAAAATGATAATATAAACAACTATGTTTTGCTTTTATTTTTCAAACATGTACATCTAAATCAATCTACAGTACCGTAGCTGCATAGGCAAGATAAAATCGAAGTATAATAGAATAATATCTGCCTCTTGTTTCGGGCATAGCCCATTATCAGTTACATTTCGTATTTTTATATTATATAAGAGAATTTTTAAATAATAACATTTATGTCGATAATAATATTGGTAGTCTCATGGTGTTTGCATATCTCAGTTCTGTACTTTTTGCTTGTCATTCAAAAGTAGCTTATACTTTGATGAACTTCCTTATTATTCACCTTATGTTTGAATAAGTCTGAACACGTGTACACTAACCGACTTAGTACAGAGTAATGTAGGTCTATATAATCAATTGTTTGAAATGTAAAATAGCGGATGTGATCAAAGCATTGTTAGTGATTCAAAAGAAGCAGAGGTATCGGCAGGGTTATATAAACATTTAAAATCAAATTACATGCTAAACCACTGGAAAAATTGCTATTAAATACTACCAAATGTTATTTCCTTGTTTCTAGTTCTTGTCTGCAGAATACTCAAACTTCGCATAAATTTATTAACATATAGATAATTACTTCAATTATTCCATTTATTGTTGAATCATAATATACAGGTAGTCTGATTACACTAGTCGCATGATCACGTAGACAGTCTTGATACTATTTATCGATCTTTTAGGCTTAATGTAGATTATGAAAAATTATTAGTCCTTTGATTTGATTTAGAAAATGTAGGCTTACAACAAATGAAACACTATGAGTGAAAGATAACTCATCATCATTGTTATTATCATCGCCATCTTCATCATTATCGTTGTCTTTATCATCATCATCACCTCCAATATTAATATTATGATTATGGTTATTATTATTTAAAGTTTATCATTAGTATAATGATAATTACTATTATCATTACTATCGTTCATTGTTATCATTTATCTTCATAGCTCTTATCAATATCATTGTCATTATTTTCATTATTCATTAGGAATCCTTTTTGAAATCACAAAACAATATAACTATATTATTTCTATATATTATTACTATTGCCATTTAAATTATCACTGTTACATAAAAACCGCGTTCATTTACAATTCTTAGTATTTAAACCCTTTTATTTGTTTTGTACTAAAATGTATAAACTAATAATTGTGACAGCTGTATTCTATGTAACATCATTACATACATTATCAAACAAAAACTATATAATGCGTCTTCTTTTACATCTAGAATACACGTAGGCCTTATTTGGAAATAATATTTATTATTTGCATAATGTATTAGTTGCATAATAATATTGTTTGATGACATAAACGCGTTCGGACTTAGAATGGAATCACATTTACTTGATATATATATTCGTTTTTTACACATTAAGGTAAACAACTTAATTTTCTCATTATGAATTCTGAATCATCTCCCTTATTCAATTACGGTACTATCTTCAAAACACCACAAACATACGGTAAAACCTCGAATGAAAGCCAATGGGCTTTTCTTCTTGAAAAACCATTGTGGATGTGCTTCTTTTCAAGATGTTTTTTTTTCGAGCTTCTTTTTAACCGTCGCAAATTTAAAAAGGGTTCTTTTCAAAATAAATGTTGTAAATTGCTACTATAAAACCGTACAGGACAGCTGAAGACATTTTTTAACCAGTGGAATTCAAAATTCAGTTGAATATTTGTAAAAGCTCACAAAAGATAAAACCATATTTTTTCCAATTATTATGTTGATCAAATGATGCCTATGAAAATGTGTTGGACAACTAAAATAAATAAATATAATTAAAAAAAATATATAAAAATAAAAAATAAATTAAATTAAATTAAAAAATATAAAAATAAATATATAAAAAACGTATTCATCCATGTATAAACTACAGAGCTTTTGTTATAATCTATTTCCAAAAATAACAAATTATTATCCTATGCAAACCCAGTTCCGTTTCGATTATGCCTAATCGTGCGGAAACCATGCTATAGTACATACAAATAATATTGATAGAACATGCTATCATAATCATCAAAGAGAACGTCAGTCTGCATCACATTCCCAACCCAGTTCCGTTTCGATTAGGCCATCGTGCGGGAATTGAACCATGCTACAGTAATATCGATATGACAGGCTATCATAGTCATCATTAAGAACATCAATCTGTCTTTTGCATTGCAATCGCTAAAAAAGAAGCCCATAATATCTTGATAAAAACCCATGGGCTTCAACTCGAGATGGGCATCTTGTCGATTATTTCTTTTCCACGAAAAAGGAGGGATTGTTTTCGAGATGGGATTATGGCAATTGAACTTCTATTCAAGGTTTCACGGTATTAAATTGTCTCCAGAATTGAATAAGTTTACTGTTTTAGTAATACTGAAATAGTTAAAAATAACGAATTTGACATAGAAATATTAGTTAACTATAAATATTAACCACTCATATCATAATTCTAGTAAAGCATTAAAGATATATATATATATAATTATCAAAAATGTTTATAATTATTACTATTAGGCCTATTCTATTATTCATCTTTAAAAAGCAAGAGATTTTAGTACAAAGTTCATAATCTATAAAAAGACAAAGCTCAAATACCTGAAAATAATCAGAGCAGCTAAAAAAAAAAAAAAAAAAAAAAAAAAAACCACAGAAGTAGAAACAGAAATAATAACAAAGGGTACCGAGAAAAGCTCAATGAATGTCATTATCCTTGTTCACATCGGTAGTTCTTCAGAGACACAAAACAATAAGAAAAGGTGAACAGCCAGGAGAAAGACAACTGTAATAACAATTGATACCCGATATTGTTTTTGTAATTTTTTAAACAATTATGACTTTGTTAAAACGCTTGTCATCGTGAGTCATAACAAGCAAGTTTAAATTGAATTATACCATCTATTTGGAAATGAGGCCTAGCTTACTCTCAAACATGTATAATGTTCAGGCCATAAATTATTTATAGAGGTATGTTGAATGAAATATGATTGCTTGGATTAGAATTAACGCCTGTATACCTAATGTCCCTTGTTCCTAATTAACTTATTTGAAGCAACTTGTTATATTTTGTAGACTTAAGGTAAAATTCTTAGATGCTGTGGTGGAAGCCCCTTGTTAGCCGCACAGCCCTTTGAAGTTTTTTTTTTTTTTTTTTTTTTTTTTTTGGCAATTTCAAATTCTATTCTATATTTAACTGTACTACAACACAGTATTGGTATAGGACAGTAAAATCATTACAATTATTGTACTATAAGATTGAGTTAATATTTTGCCAAAAGAAGAATTTAAAGAATTCATGTTTTACTATTGTTTATTGATGCCGGTTTTAAGTAATGAAACCCATAATTCGTGAATATTCTATTTAAATTTCCGTTCATTTGATTGATATTAGCTAATAGGTCCATGATATTAGGCCCTTGTATTCACACTATGAGTCGCGACGAAAGTAATTAGAGTGCAAAGATAATTTTGCAGGGTAGCCGGACTTGTATTGTTGTCGGTAACAGAACACGTCATATCTTGTTTTCTTTGTGCAAATGTAACTGTATGTGAAGTATCGTTTCTTGAATTGGGCTTTTTCCACAAAGTGATTCTTCTATCATATTGACCTTGATTCTTATGTTTGCTAATGAAGGAACCTCCACGTTTAGGCCTATGCCAAAATATAATTAACTGCTCGGGCGTCCATACTTTGACAGCTCTAACTTTCTTTGGCGCAGGAAATTGGGTAGGACCATCATGAGTATAAAAACTCCCTGGCAGGAATAATCCTGCAGGAGTATTCTCAAGCCAAAACTGAAGTTACAGTCCTACTGGAATCGAACAAAAACAGAGTAATTTTTTGTATCAGTCATACAAAGATGTTGGCACAAAATTCACCAAATACTAGGGCTTTAAAGCCTAAAAATACTTCGCCTGTAAAATCTCGGGTCTACTCATAATAAAAACAAGTGTATGATAAAGTGTCAATTTTCAATCTGCTTTGTCATATTTAGCTGAAATAAACTACCATTTATTTGTCGATTGGTTGGTAACGGATTTAATTCTAGATCTGAGTGGAGTCGCCCCCACTCCACATGGGCAAAGTGTTGTGTTTTGGCCTTCAATTTATTGACAATATTCATTGAATGATTATTACCTTTAGTTTCT